TGTATTCTATTATTGTGTATAACAAATAAAATAGTTTGGGGTGGTTTTTTTAAATGGTAAGCCACTGTGGGAGTTCAACAGTGTTTGAGAATCTAACTGAGAAGTATTTTAGAAATTTAAGAAATAAACAAATAAAAATACTCATATCTATAAAAATATTACATTGCACAATAGTGGAAGACCTCAGAGAACAATCTTGGTTTGTTGCTTTGAAAACAGCAATCCAAGGAAAGAACTATCTGGCTTGGAGCTTTCAAAATGACAGGAAATAATCAGCTTAGAATACTTCCCAAAATTTCCCAAGTCCTCTCAAAAATTATAAAGTAACTTGCATTATAGAAGACTCCTGTGAACCAATTATGGTCAATATTACACAACTTTGCCCATAAATTATGGTTCTTCTTCTTATTATTGTTCTTTAACATTTTATTGGTTCAATTATGGTCAATTATGTCTGAGAAGAAATTGCAAAGTGCAAATGAATCTTGGTTGCTTTTGAAAGCCAAGACCTTTAATTAGATCCTTACCAAGTACTGAATAAACTTAATATAGAGATACAACACTTTCCTTATGAACTAGTCCCTTGAAACTGTGGTTAATGTTGATCTTTCCAGTCCTAAATGGTATAATTACAATGGCTATTATGTCAAAGCCTTAAAAATAGAAAGGATTACTCATGATTAATAGCTTACTATTAAATCTATTTATGTTGCAGACCAGTAATCAATCAATTCCTACTTCCTTCTCACTGCTACTGATAGAGTTAATGTTATACAAATGACAGAACAGGGAAATTATTTCAATCCAAGAGAAAATTAAACTGGTCTTCTCTTCCTCAGATCCAAAAATGCCCAAGAAAGAAAATACCTCTTTCTCAAGATTTCTGTAGCTATTCAAAGCATCCTGATAGCTCTGTCAGATCTTCCATTTCTTTACTTCACATAATCTATACTTCCAACTTAGTCAACAAATCTTTAAAACTAAGAAGCACCCCCCCCCAAATGGGGGCCACTCATCCACCGCTTGCGATGCGTGTCTGCTCCTCGAGAACACAGCAGTACACAAAGCCAGCTCTTCTGTTAGGTATAGCGAGGCAGCTGCCTTGCGCGGCAAGATGCTGGGGTGGGGGAGCAACAGAAGACACTAAAGAGAAGAACAGTGTGGGTCATATACAGACTGCCTTGCATTCCCTAGCCTGCTGTCCGCAGGTCCATGCAGGACCCTGTCCCATTGCCTGTGCTGAAATCCACTGCAGCTCAGCTGCTTCTGTGTGATGTCATCTTGCCCTCTGATTCAAGCACCAAATGACTTGGGCCAGTCCTGGCATAGTAGAAGGTGAATATTAGAAAAGAGGTCTTGGAATGGGACACTGAGAGCTCTTTTCTAAAGTGCACTTTGTCCTTAGGGCATGGCCTCCATCTTGACTTGTCCTTCTGTCACCACAGCATACACCACCTTCTTTTCCAGCCCTCTGCCCTGGAAGCCACGCGGTCTCGCTCCACACCCTTGACTTCTGGGCCAATGCATCAGTGAATTGATGTCTGAGACAACTGTCCCCTGCCCACTCTCACTGCAGGTCAATCTCAAGGTCAGACCAGACAGGCCTACATTTGTGAGTCTCTCTGTCTCTGTCTCACCATTGGCAAAACCCATACCTGCACCTTTCTTGTCTCTTTATTCCATAGTACTTGAAAACAACTTCCACCCCATCCTTGGCAAGCTACTCTGCATTATCTGCACAGAACTGGGTGAACTCGAGAGTAGAATCAAAATTTAAACATGTCTGGTTTGGCCTTTAATCACACACCATAAAGAGTAGCCCAAACTGCTGAGCCTCACTTGGGTCATGTCATATAGATGCAAAATCTGGAAATCAGTGCCAATGGCCATGGCCTGCAAACAAGCAGTTGGAAACAATATGCAATGAAATGCAGAGACAAATTGTTCTGGTAATGCAAGCACACACCACAATAAATATGCCTGCATTATTCTGCATTATCCTTCCCAGCTCAAATCCTTTCTATCTAGATTCTAGCAATGTTTGTGTGGTCTAATTTAAAATAATGTCTTATACACAATTCAGCACAGGCAGACCAATGTAGGTTGAATGGTGATAGTGATTAATGGTCCAAAATAACCCTCTGATTTAGAGTCTCTCACACAGTAAAGTTCAGAGGCAGCAAGAAATGGGAGTATACTCAGCTGTCCCATTGACAAGGAGTTTCAAAAAGTATTATTGCTGAGTATCTCCTTGCAGTCACAAGATCTTGCTGGGTGCCTTTTGACAGAGCCAAGTCCCAAAACTTCAAACGAGCTGAGTAAAACAAATTTGGAACTAGCTGCCAAACACACATGCACACGCACACACACCAAGCTTTGAACATGGGATGGGGATTAGATATTTCTCCAAATGACAGCAAATTAAAACAGGTCTTACCTAACTGAGAAAGGTTCTATGTCAGCCTATAACTAGGCACTGCTGCTTAGATAAAATATATTCAGTGAATCCAGGGACACATATGCAAATGCATTTATGCACCATACTAGCTATTGCATTTGACAGATGGAAGCAGAACAACATTTTGCAAGCAGCAACATGGCTGGCTGGATAACAGGAACATGCAATTGCTCCATAAAGGAAGCACTACTTCTCTGTCAAGACTTCAAAAAACAAAGAAGTAGCAACTGCGTAAGTACTGTGTGAAAAAAGCATAATCCAGAAAGTCCCTGGATATAGTGCAATGGCTCTCTCAAAATAGCCTATGCCATACCGCTAATTTCCAATTCAGGATTAGTTTGTTGACATCAATCTTTCAGAGTCTCTAGAGAAAGTTTGCCAAGGAATAAAGAAGATTTCCAGCTGCTATGTAGCAAAAGGTCAAGTCATTGTAGAAAAAAGGGTTTTGTTTTTTTTTTTTTTGCATCTTTACTGATGGGAACCCTTTTGTCTCCTAGCCTATGACCCTGACACAATTCACCTCCTCTTTTGTAAATTCTTAAACCATGGGAATTTTAAGAATAAGAAACAACAGTCGGGGGGGGGGGGGGAATTACAAACAGTGACTCCTGACAATTTCCTACCTGAAAAAAACAAACTACTCTAATGCTTTTGAGAAAATATTCTTGTCTACAGAAAGTGCTTCTTAAATTTAGCATTTCATTCCTCTTTTCCATCAAATAGGTCATTAAAAAGGTGAGTAGGTGACTAGTGCCCAGTGCTGTTGGAAGGTCTGCTAGAGCACAGCTCATACCTTTGCAATCTCAGAAGCCTAAGAACATGCAAGAAGGGTGACACTGGGGTCTTAACACACGTTCTTCTCCTGTGATCTTAATCATCTTATCTTCTTCCAGGATTGTTGAAAAGAGCAGCAGTGTAGCAGCTCTATGTAACAAAAGAAGTACTAGATCTAAGCCATGAACTGCTATTCTTTGGAGAGGGGATACCTGAGTATCAGAATATGAAATCAGCTACAAGTAATTGCTTAGCTATGGTTTGATATTGCAAAATAGACACACAGAACTTCATAACCATTCCAGGAGTCCCAATCTGGCTTTCCTGGGTTCCCTAGAAAGCACCTCTCCAGACTTATTCCTCCTTGTCTTGTCTACTAGTTGTTTGGTGGTTCCCTTGTTTTTGTGTACTGTTTCCCTCCCCTGTGTCTAAAGATTACAATCTTCTCCGAAGACTTGGATACTGGCAGCAAGAGCTATAAGCTAAACTATGTTGGTATTTTTATCCCTTTGGCTCCATCCACTTTTGGAATGTTATCTCCGAGAGCTTTTGAAAATGAAATGCAGCCTTCTAACCGAAAGAGGTTCTGCACCTCTGCTGCAAAGCATTCAGTGCAGTTAAACAAAAGTGGGTGTATTCAATATCATTCCTGCAACTCTGCCAATTTTTATGCTTGTATAGCAATACATAATAGTCCAATGTATATCAGTTGTATGATCTTGCAACACTTGTTAACTCTACTCCAAATAGTGAACACTTTGGAAAACTTTGGATTGAATCCAGAGAGGAATCAGAAGAACTCCATTCACACAACAGGTTTTTCCTGGCTGTTCCCCCTCTACTACATGACCTTGCACACCATCCTCCCACAAAAACCCTTTGGAATGGGGCACAGGAGGCTGCAGCAAGAAAACTGAAGAATGGCGCCGCAAAGAAAAGAGAAGAATTCAGTGGAGTGGCTTGGTGAAGGTAGAAGAGTTTTCCCACTTCTACATGACATCTCCAGATCCAGGATCTTGTGTTGAGTTGACTTCTAGTGATGCACTATACTAGGGACTGTACATAATTCTAAAGAAATGTGGAACAAAACTAAAAGAATGAGAAGGGGAGATGTTGCAGATGGTTGGAAATCATCACAGCAAAAGGACATGAAATAATCACTGAAATGTAGTAAGTGACTATGATTAGTCTAGCATGGCCGATTCTTTTGTACAAACTGGATGAACTACCCGTGGGGTAGTTTGGTCCTCTGAACTGTCCTGCCCAGTGGTAGGCAAAACCTGGTCACACATCAAGTACAGATGTGTGGTGAAACAGACAGCTGCTTGCTGCAGTTTTTTTTCTTGGTTACTGCATATTCTCTAGTGAGATCAACATATGCCTATGAAAACAGAATTCCCATTTCTCATTCCCATTTGTTTATCCAAATGTTTCTGTGAACAAAAAAAGTTGTATGAACTATAGGACATACACACCCTGATAAATTCTACCTGGGAATAAAGCTTTAAAAATAACTGATACACTTTAGAAGAGAAACAGGGCCAATGAAAGAGGTACTTTGACTTTACTAGAGACGATCAGGCAAGATTCCCCCTTACGAATTAGTTCATGCCAAAGCTTTACCCTTAGAAGTTACCACTGCAGCAAATCATAACTTTGTCTCTTCAAATGCCAAGTCTGTGGAACAAATTCTCATGTTACTTTCCTCCTTGCATTAGGAGCAGCTGCCAGTTCAATACAGCAACAGTAATACAGAACAGTAGCTTACCATCGTTTGGCGAATATGAAAAATTTCAGCTCCAGTAGCTGAAAGATGGTTCGGAAATGAAATTTCAACAGAAGATCCAGGAAGAGTGCTTGGGCCAGCATTGTAGACCTTCAAAAAACAAAAACAAAAACAAAAAAAAGAATGAGAAAGCACAAATTTCAGAAAATACATTTCATGCAGGCTAGAGCTGATCTTTCTAGACTTTAATTGGCATTTCAAAACAATCATTCAAAGAACGAGTGTAGAGGTAGAAGCATGAGAAAGAATGCAAAGTACATAACAGAAAAGCAAATAGATTCCAGTCTAGTACAATGGTGGCCAAAAAGGAAGTGAGGGAATGGGGTAGGAGGGAGCATTCCCCTGTACTCCCTGGGAATGGTGGAGGGGGGGCAATTCCACCCAAACCTAAACACTTTGTTAGTGAAGTTTTCCAGGTTCTAGGCCTTGTGTTGGTGCACAAGCCCCATATGCATGATACATAGAGATCACAAAGAAGAATCAGCGTATGCCTCCCCATAATCTAGCACTGCGACAGCATGAATATTTGCTATGACATAAAAGCATAGAGCAAACTAAGAAGGCAAGTATTATGCCATAAATTTGAAGGAAGGGCTTCTCAGGACAGCTTCTTGAGTACTAGCACCTAAAACAGAAAGTTTGTGGCTGCACTAGTCTATTCCCCTGATGGTGGCACTTTTACCCTGGAATATATTTTATATTTAAACCAAACTTCAACCCTGAAATTTGTCTTTAACAGCTGAAGCTCAGTCCTACAGTATACTGAATAAGGATGCAGAAGACAGGGTCTGTATGTAGGTAGGCCCTTAACATCTGCCTCAAACGCCTTCCCCGAGAGTATTACTTTTCAGGGTAGGACATGAATCAGATTGATACACATTATTCAGCTGACTAGAGTCAGTCTCTCTCTCCCTCCCTCCCTCCCTCTCTCTGCCTTTTCCAACATGGTATACTTGAAGCATCCTGGAGTATGGCTCTAGCCAACTCTCCACGCTGGCTGCCAATGACATGACTTGTAACCCAGCACTTCTGGAGGGCCCAAGTTGGGGAATACTGTTCTTTAGAATGTTTCTTCAAATAATTAATCCAGCCCTGTGCATATATGTGTATGCATGTGCATGTGCACACACATGCTTAAGCATTTACATTTACTAAGAAATAATCTAAAGTAGTCATGGTCATCTATGTCTACAATTTAGTCTACGAATATGTGGTAGTCTATATATGGCATTGCTCAGGATCCAGCCAACTCTAAATATTCAAACATCTAGACTTCGTTCTCCAAACAATATGCAAGTTTTGAGGAATGGAAGAATGATAAAGAGAAGTGGTACACAAAGCCAAACCCTTAAAAACTCCCAGAGACACTTAAAAGGGAAAGAATCCAGCTACAATTGCAATAAACTCCAAGTGCTGCATGAAATGCAAGCAGAATAGAGCAAATGAGAAAACAAATGAACAGGTAATTCTGCAGTCATGAAAATGAGAGTTAATGAATAAGGGAGACTGGATGTTCACCAGAGAGAGAGAGAGATGGAAAGATGAAAGGGTGTTCAGAGTAGCTTAACTTATGGTTTCCCACAATATATGCTTAAACATTCATTTCATAATCAATTGCTTTTGTCTGTTTATTAAATAGAAGCAAACCAACTTTATTCTCTACAAGTAAATCTGTACTACTTTTCTTAGTATGAACCTTTTAATAGTTTAGGGCTGAGCAAGCAAAGAGGCATGTATATATGTGCATATATGTTCCTTCATTCTGTAAAGAACATCATCATTATCAAAATGCACATCTTCTGTATCTCAACAATTACATGGTGGGATTATTATGAAAGAAAAGAAAGTGTTCTTCAATTCAGGATAATCAATTCACTCCAAACAGTTTTTGTTTCATTCTAGATACCACACATTTTCTATGGAATCCCCGATTGCCTGGGATCACACCCTAATAAGAAGTCCTAACTAGGGAAAAAGGTGAACATTTACCATTTAAGTTGCTCATGAAACATTCCCCCACACCAAAGTAAATCTTTTAAAATATCACAATCAAACAATTGCAATTAGCTTCTGTTTATCTTCTCTTTTGTTCATTGTACGATTATGACATGGGAAAATAGATTTTCTAAATTACTAATTCAGAACCAGTGAATCTATGATAATAGCTTGGTCACAGGAGCATCAGGGTCCTGGAATCCAAGCCTGGACAGACTTCTTCCATTCCTTCTCACTAAAAAAAACTAAAGACATTGAATGACAGTAAAGAATGATTTGCTGTGAACTATGATCCTCCCATGGTTGGAAACATGTGCTACTTATTAGTTGTAAAATGCATTAGGTTTGGAAGAGAAGGAAAAGATATATACACACGCATAAAATGTTAGTAGGTACACATACCATTTATTATGAAATTTGTCATTCTGCAGTCCCACCTAGTGGCTAAAAAGGTTTTGTCAATGTATGGTCCCAGTTTGTGAAGGAAATGGATGGCAGGGAGGGGGTTGATTCAACTTCAAGAATCAACAAACAATTTAGCAAACCCAGCTAAAGCCATACTCTTAAAATACTACTTGAACATTTAGATCTTTCCCTCTGAAATCCAGAGAACTTTGGGATTTGGTATGAATAGTAGGAAGGGATCTGCTCAAAGTAAAAGGAAAATAAGAAAAGAAAATAATGCAACCCCCCATTAACTATATCTACATTAATGCATCTTTGAATCCCAAGTGATGCAATGTCTTTGGTGCCATACTATACTATACTATGCTGTAACACAAAATATCTGATCATTGTTGTGATCCAGAGTGTAGAAGAGCAGCCCAAATTTCACAGGCTCCACTAATCAATAACCAGAAGAAATTATTACATAATCTATTATCTCATCCTTATTGGGAAACTTAGACCTGTCTATTCAGTTCTGCACAATCCACTATCTGTCTACTCAAAAATAAGCATCACTGTGTGCAACAGTGCTTACTTCCAGGTAAGTGGATTTATGGCTGAACTTCAGCATCTTCCTCTATAGAATAGTGGAAATATAGTATATTGTACAGTAGATGAAAGCACCTGCAAGCATACATATTTCCTTAACAGAACACTATAAGCACTGAAATGCACTAGCAAGAAAGATTCCTGTGTGTAATTTTTTACCTGAAAAGTGAAGTTGAGATCCTGAAAATGACACTCAAAATCTTCCAGCTGAACAAATTGTGATGCTGCCACAGACTCACCATAAATAAAGGAACTGGGGGACACCACTCTGAATGAGAGAAAGTTGAAATGATATAACACTGCCCAAATGAGCCCCAGTTTGTTTCTGTTGCACAAACAGTCCCCAATTCTGACAGTCATTCAAAGCTATCTCTTTTTCTTCCAGCACTTTTATCTCACAAATGAGAGGAAAATATCAACAGAGTTCTGACTGTGAAATTAAACAGAAAGGCATGTAGCTAGACCTCCTTGTGACCTATACTATCCCAGAACATTTGACCCCAGCTTTTGGTCTTGTGGATGTGAACCAAAACTTTTGACTTGACCTCAGAAATACTGTCCTTATAGATGGCTGGTACATCGCTATAGTATAGTTTGCTGTATCATGATTGATGCCTAAAGTTTCTATACTGAAGAACTGCAATAAAGAAAAAAGTAAACATAAACACATACACATACTCCTTTTATCATGTCCTAGTTTCATAGCCTGGGAAATTAGCTGAGAAGAAACAAACAGTCTGCCCTTGGAAACAGGACCAAAGTGGATTTCTGATGGAAGAGATGCTTAAAATAATCTTGGCAAATTTTTATGCATGCACATGAGTATTTCATGACCAGTTCCTTACCCTGTGATGGACGAGTCCACTTCATGCATCAGGGGAACAGACAGGGTGAGAGCGTTGTCATGAAGATTGTGTTCCAAGTTCCCACTGTGCCAAACAGAAAAGGCAAGGAGGCTTTTTTTACCTAGTTGTCCGACATAACTACTTAAATTTGGTTTTGACATTAATACCTTCCCAGTCAGCTTATAGAGCTTTCTTCTACTCAGCCTGATACATCAGAGTTATACCACTGCCACAGCAAAATGGGAAGGGTGTTTTCAAGGGAAATAAGAAAGTGATATGCACATACACAACCCACCTCATCACTGAGGTGCTCTTTCTAGCCTTGTGATTCACTGATTATTGCTGTGATAACCTAGGTCCAGTTTTCCCTATGGCAACAACACCAGCTAGCAACCTGGGGTCTGTTTCTAATTCCACAAAATATAGGCTATCAAAAACATTTAAGGAAAATAGGAATCATCTCAGTCTCACATCTGTGGGAACAGGGGAGCTTAGCATAGTATCCCGGCCTTTTCCCTTCCTCTTGCCAAATCACCATTGGGCACATCTTAGTGGTTGTGAGGATCCCTACTCAGGCTGTCACAAAGAGGAAGGACAGGATCTCTTCTCAATCATCCCAGAGAGCAGGACATGGAATAATGGGCTCAAGTTGCACCAAAACAGATTCTGGCTACAGATCAGGAAAATTTTCCTGACTGTTATAGTAGTATGACAATGGAACCAATTCCCTAGAGAAGTTGTGGGATCTCTCACACACACTAGAGGCAGTCAAGATGCAACAAGATGCAACTCATCCCATCTGAGTGGGATGGTGCAACTTGGTGCCCTGCACCAGATTGGGTTGGACCAGGTGGCCTTCTAGGCCCCTTCCAGCTCTACTATTCTGTGATTCTTTGGGACCTAAAAGAGGAACAAATCGTTCCTTATGTTCTCGTCTACTGCCCCATCTCACGTAAGCCATGCCTGCTGCGGTACAACGGGGGCAAGCATTGTCCTTGCTTCACGGTGTACCTTCCTCTCTCCAAAGTCATGCCAAATGCCAATGTGAATGATCAGAGATGATTTTGGATAAATGTCTCATTCCCATTGACTGTATAAGCTATTGAAGAAGGCCTTTATTAAGTGTAAATAAAACATTACCCTTCCTTCCTGCATTAATACTATTTATCATCAATGAAATACATTAAAACGGCACCACAAATTGTGCTGTTCAGGTCATTTGGTGGTCACAAGCCACACTACTGTATAATTTCATGGCCTCTGCAATGCTACATATCATTTCTACATAGTACCACCACTGAACTTGGGAGGGGATCTTGCTGGACACAGGCCCTAAAGTCTACCCCTAACCCATCCCTGCTCATGGTGGCTGGGATTCTTTGCCTGCTTTCTGACCCTACCCACACCTCTTTACAACAGCTGTCTCCCATTCCTTGGGATCCTTGCTTTTAGATAAACAGCAGAAATACATGTTCCAAATGTTGCTGTGAAGAGAAGCATCCATCTACCAACTGCAGCTATAACAAAAGGAATGTTTCCCTGCTCTGCACAGCCTTGCACCTAATGCCAGAGCTGATGCTGGCAGGCACTGCATATCTGTCTCTATAAAAGCATCTGCCTTTTGGCAGGACTGAAGCAAGATGAAGCACCTCCTGAGATAAGCCTCCCTGCACCTCCCAACACTGACCTCCCAGGTCATTTTTGGTCTTGCCACTGCATTCATGGCTCCAAGGATTCTGGGGCCATCTTGCCTTCAGAGCTGTGCTTTAGCTAGCAGTGGCGGCAACTGCTGCTACTCCCAAAGGAGCTTGTTGGTAGTCGTGATTGGCAGCAGTGTGGATGGAAGGTAGAGATGTCACTTCCCATCCCCTTCCCAATCTGCTCCCTGAGCTTAGCGGCTCACCATTGCGGTGAAGCCACCACTCCGCACTTTGCCACAACTCGGGGCGTTTTCATCTCACCGCATCATGCAAACGCTTCATGCAAACATTTCACCATGACTTCATTTGATGATGCCAGTTGGCAGACTGATGCAGAAGGGTCCCCACAAGAGGCGTCTAGCAGCAGAAGCATACACTACAATGGGCTTGCTACCAGAGAATGATTCTGGTTTCTTTTGGGTCCCCCCTCATACACTGACTGGCAGCAGTTCTCCTGAAAATTCAGGCAAGAAGCCTCTGCCCAGCCCTACAAGGAGATACCAGGGACGGAACCTGGGAATTTCTGCAGGCAAAGCATGTGCTCCGTCAGCAAGCCAGAGACCTCTTGATTTGCACCTCAATTGCTTAGCCACTACACAGGGCATTTCATTTCATGCAATACCTGGAATGAAGGTTTGGCTGGACCATTTCATATGCTTTGTTAATCACTGCCTGCTGATGAAAACTGGTTTGCAGTCAAACAAAATCAACCTCCTTGCAAGTGCACTAAGATTGACTCAGCAGATTACTGCAAGATTCCTTGGCTTTGAAAACACAGTGAGGGTCATCCCTCTGTAAGGACCAACTGGCATTCTTGGATAATAAATCCCTCCACGACAATAGAGATGCAAGTAGTCAACTTCTGATGTGGTCCACTCATGTATGGTTTGTACGAGCAGCACAGAAGGCTGCAAGATCTTGTTCCATACATCTGTCCTTTCTGCAGAGCTACTTTCCTTCCCCCTGAGATTCATAATGCAACTGCTGATTCCTTTCTCTCCTCTCCAACTGCTCTGCATAGTAGCTTGTTTTCTTAAAAAATAAATAAATAAACACGATTAAAAATTGCTATTTTAGATGTGACCACAGGAGATATCAAATTGCATTATATCTTGATGCATCTATCATCACATCTAACAACATGAGAAAGCAAAAAGTGGAAGCTTCTGTTTTAGAAGTGGTGGATCTAAGAGCAAAAGTTCATGAAGCTGAGCAACGATCATTCCCATGTGAGCAGAACTATTCTTGGTGGCTAATCACACATGGGGTTTGCTTCTTTATAGCTTATAATCATGGGAAGTGTGCACCGGACATTATACTTTTCAACACTCTCTTTATCAAATCCCTGTGCACACATTATGAAGGATCTATAGTCCAATGAAGAGCTGGCCTACATTCTGCCCTAGTAGATTTCAGGATATGCCTCTGAGGTACAAAAACGTTCAGTTCTGTTGCCTCATGAGAACTCCTAAAACAGGAAAGGGGAAGCATGGGGCCAAGTGACGCTTGGTATAACATTGTAAATGCCAGGGAATGGGCAATCAGCATGAAACCAATGGTTTCTGTTTTCCGGCTCGGATCCAATTGCACATTTCACTGAAGCATAGTACAAAAGGGTTTTGCAGTCATGACTGAGTTAGACTTAGCACAAGCAACGATGGAATGAATAAATCTATCCAGCTTTTGGATTCTCTGGATCTGGCTCCGACACAGAACACCAGAAAAATGCCAGCTTAAAGTACTTCCTAGCGAGCTAGGATCTTTGGTCATTTATCATGTACAAATGTGGCCGTGCTCACTAATCTCCTGAAACTTAGAGAGATGAGAAAGCATGCCTTTTGGCCAGTTGATTTTGGTGCTTAGAAACTGAGTAATGTCTTTATGTCCTGCCTCTTAAGCCATTACAGAACAGGGAAAGATTAAATCAATGCAGCAGGTCATCTTTTATGAGCTATTATCAGGTTCAGCGTCACAATCCCTTGGCACAGAAAGACTGCATGGATCATAATAAATCATGTATGAAATCACATTCCATGTTTTCCTTCACAGGTCTGTGTGGAGAGTTTAAGCAATGAATGCCATAATCAATGGGTTACCTCTGAGGCAAGCCTAATTGATTCATTATCTCCAATTCAAAACCTTTTTGCTTTTTTCCTAATTGGAAAATTAGCAAATTGGCTGCAAAATGTATCTGCCTTATGGATGCTACACACCCAGCTGCCATTTCAAAGTACCTGTCAGAAAAAGTGTAGGGTCAAGGTGGTGTATCAATCATGTCTGGAATAAAAATGGATCCATATTGAAAAGCCCATGATGCAACTCTAATGTCTCCCCCAGCAACAGCAGCAGGCAGGCAATGGAAACAGCCAATTTAAAGACAGCTCAAGGCCACATGTCAAAGAATTAGCAATTTGGAGATGGACTGTGTCAATCATTTAGCATGCTGTTCTACTATACCACCAGCCAGTTACAGTAGTCCTTATCAAGAAAAAAATAGCCTTTTCTTAATGTGTTAGTCTTAATTCCTCCTGAGGGAGAAAACAGGGTATCCTTTAAACCTTATTAAAGTGTTATTTTTTTCTTCATTTTTTTCTCTAGAGCAGGTGCAGGAGCATCAGTCCAGAGCTTAATGGGTCCCCACAGCCCCAGACTATGGTCCCAAACTCTTCTGCCTACTCTAGAGTAAAAAGGAAAGGAAAGAAGCTGCAGCTATTACTTTTGAAGTAAATGACTACCTTAAGTTTCATTCATTTTGTTGGGTTCTATCACTAAGTCTAAACTGAAGTCAACAAATATTTCTCTCTGAACATTTCTAGATGTGCCCATCCAGGCTCCAGAGAATAGAATCTGAGCAAAACTGGAGTGGGTTTTCCACTTCTTACATTTGGATGGTGGGTCCCTTAATTCTGTTCTATTCTTCAGATTTAAAGAGTGTCCTTTGTTTACATTAAATTGCACTGGCACAAGCATAGTATGCGAAATGAAACCAGTGGATGTTGTACAGTGTTTCTTCAGTTACCTAAGATCAGCAGAAGACAGTTCAGCGTCTGTCTGGGGCTGCGCCACATTCTTGGAAATTCTGAAAAAAGACACCTTATCCATTGCTAGGTTCTGGAGGGTTCATCATGACAGAGGCATCATGTCAGGCACTATGCCAGGGGTGAAGAAGCTCTTTCTCCCTAAAGGGCTGGACTGGGACCCTCAAGGACCCTACCTACTCAACTTCTCCTTCTTGCAATGAAAAGAGTGGCAGAAGAAGGAAAAACAGTAAGATACCCAATTTCATTTTCCAGATTGTAAGCTAAGTATGTCCAGGCCAAGGAGATGCCTGCAACCTGCCCAGATGCAGGCTGGCGATGAAAAGCAAAATCTACATTACCTCTGAGCAGTGGCCAGGAATGAAAGGATCTCCTCTTCCCCAGACAGATGACTGGTGTCAAAGATAACACTGAATTCATACTAAGGGGAAAGAAAGTAGCATTCATCATGTTGAGTGTATTGCTCTTGATAGACATGACCCATATGAAATACCCTGCTGTTATCATATATATTTAGCACAGTCATGTTCCAGATTTGAGGTGATTTTTCGGTAGACAAGGAATGTGGAACCACTGGCCAGTAGGCTGATTTAGCCTGCAAGGTTGGATCATGCAGCTAAGGGCCATGTCCCAAACCCCACCCCAAGCCCTGCTCCTTCAGGGCAAATGGGGAGAGGAATCCTTGCTGTCATCACCACTGTTATCCTGCCGGGATGGAACATAATATGTTGCAGAGAATCAGTGACTGGAGGCAACAGCAGGGATTCCTTCCTTCCTTCCTTTTTATTATCCAAGAAGCACACTGCTTACACTCTCAATTGGGAGGATAAGAGGCAGCTAAGAGCATCACCCAGCCCACGTATTCCCCACTGGGAGAAACCACAGGGTATATGAAGTCACATTCCCCACCAGGCAGAAGAACTCTCCCCTACCTGGTGCATCAGCTGGTCCTGCTTTGCCTACCCCTCCCTAATGGTCAAAGGCATGTGACTGCCAATGTCAAGTTCAGGAGAAGTTCCAGATGGCACTTCAGCTGGAAACCAAAAGATATCAGAAGTGGGGCCAAGCCTGCCTTGATATCATAGCCCTACAGATGGTTGGATTGTGGTAGGGGATCATCCAGTTCATATACCCAGTTAGTTCCCATATACAACGTGTCTTCGCACTCTGCTGCATTCAATGTGCATCTGCATGTGGAATCACACACTGGAACAGTCCTCTGCATAGGAATCCTCTATGAAATCCAGCAGCCATGGCTGCACACACACATCTTCTCTATGATTGCCAATGATAGCACTGATCATTCAAGAAGTTGAATGGAAGAGCTGGAGGCCCTTCCTGCCTAAAGAGCTGATTGGTCCATCTGCTACTTATTTGCCATGCTGGACTGGGACCAGTGGCTGCATGTACATCAAGGTATCACAAATAGGAATCAATGCCAAGGTAAATTTGTCAAGCCTCAGCAAGATAAATCTGGTGTAACTTGGATTTTGCAGACTTATCATCAATTCTGAGTGTACCCATTGTTCTCTTGATGGTATAAGGGCAGGGGGAAGTATGCTGACTTGCATAAGTACTATGGGACCTTTGTTGGAATAATTATTCCCAAAGAAAAGAGCCATCAGCTAGTATCAATGAGACTGGCAAAGACTTTTACAATAAAGGCAACTATCTCCCCCTTCCTTCAACCAAGTCTTCCTTCCCAGGTCCAAGGCACTGCAAATAGCAAGGCATAGAAGTATCTTGGCAAGGGACAACAGATCAATTTACTACCGTACCAGTTCCACCCAGAATTAGAGCTGACCCTGCTAATAGGCAGAATGAGGATGCTACCTCAGGCAACAAATTGTTGACTGTCTGGTTACTCATTTACCATTTTAAATTTTTTTACTGTTGTATTTTTATTGCCAAGAGCGGAGCAAGGTTCTTGTGGGATTTTCAAACTCATTTGACCATCCCCAGGTCCCACACACTTTGACCTGGGGAGAGCCATTTGCTGATGTCTTAGGCTGGCCCTGCACAAAATTAAGCTTTAAGACATCCAAGAGCAGCATCAGAAAGAGAAAAAAACCTCCACTAGTTAATGGAACAAATACGACAAATGAAAACTTGGAAGGAAAATAAAAATAATAAAATTTATTTTTATTGGCTCAGTGCTGTAAATAGCTGAAGTTTTCATTCTTTGCATAGCAGAGGAAAATAGAAAACACAACAAAGCAACTAAGGACAGAATGACAGACGGAAATTCAAACTTCAAAGAACCATTTTCTGGCAACCCAAAAGAACTCCACTTTGCATAGCCAATCCACTTCCATTTGGGCTGCACTGGCTATGAAGAGTTGTCACTGACCAGGAAAGATCAGGAACACCTTCCAGTGAGAAGAGCGAGGTGACTACAGCATATCTGTGGACAATGTGCAAACCTACACTGTAATTGCAAAGTCATCTGTGACCACAAGTTCCCTTGACACAATGAAGAGCTTAGAGGTAAGCTATAACTCATTACCTTGGATTTTGATCTCATGAAGGGAAAGCCCACGCTGCACTTAAGGAAATCCGAGTCTGGTTCCAGCAACTCACATGCAATGCCCATCTCTTCCTAAAGGAGAAAAGGAAGAGTAAAAATACATATGCTTCAGTAAATGAAGAGGAGAACACCGTGAGTTATATCCACGCTGGCCATAGCTTGCAACCCTATACCCACTTACCTGTGGGCATATAGGGTTGCACTGTTTGTTCCCACTGAAAAAAGCAGAAATACTGTCAAGACAAACCAGCCATTTTTATTTCAGTGCAATGCAGGTGGAACTGAGTTATTCCAGAGTCAACCTACAGCTCCTCAGGAATGTGCTTTATGGCAAACAGTAAACCAGAAGAAAAAGAGCTAATAGCAACTCCAGGAAGGTAATTTCCAGAGCATTAAATGGCTATGGCAAGAGGAAACATTGAGCATCATTATTGTTATTATTTACAAAACCATTGAAAATACATATATCCATTTAATGTGACTGTTGCCCTGGACACAGACAGAGACCTTTGGGCAGGACTGACACACACAGAGAACTGGGGATTGACTGAAATCAGTCCCTCTGGGCCTCTGGTGTGCTGCAGTGCATCAGTATCTCTTTGACTTCACTTAAACTCTATTTGTACATTAATGCATAAGGCAACTACTACAGATGGACAAGCAGGGAAGTCTTGAGCATTCATTCTCTGGCTCTCTCTTATCCAAACAAAGCCAAACCCAAGTAGCACTACAGGGGAATTTCTCACTGGGGAAGCAGGATTAGGGATCAGTGGGGGTTTTAATTTAAGTTTAGATAAGTAACTAAAATCACCCAGGTTCTTCATATTCAGGGCAAAAAGAACTTGGTAGTCCAAAAAAAAAATTGGGGAGAAAGTAAATGTGCAAATTCATCCATCCAGGCCCAGAGCTTTGGCTGCTTTGCTGTTAAAGGTGTGGGTTTGAATTCCTCTGTATTTAACCATGTAATTGCTGGATGAGGGCTGCCACTCTCCCACACCCCACAGATCTATGGTACATCATCGTCCTTTCCATGCTGAGAATAGTTGCATATACTAAATTAGGCTGATGCAGATGGGTGAGAATTTCATTCCAGGTTGTTTCTGAAGCGCATTTGCAGAAATTTGCACATTTTTTTCATATTGGGGAAGGAAAAAACTTGAGATTCTAAAAAAAAAAAACAAAAAAAAAACCAATGCAGGAGAAAGCCAAGCTGACACATTCACCCATCCCAACAGTTTGTGAACTTTTATTAACATGGGGCACTGTTAAACCAAGGTGTCTTTTTTTAGCATTTGTATGAGAATAACCAGATATTTTTCTGCCCTTGACCATAAGCCTCTTTCTATCTATGAACAGATTATATATAGTTGTACTGATACTGTTTTAAAGAATTATTATTAGTTGCTGCCATTTTAATTGTTCTGGATGTTTTATTGGAAGCCACCCAGAGAGCCTTTTAGGCTGTAGGGTGGCATATAAATGCAATAATAAATAAATAAGTGATAAATAAATTATGTGCTATAGCCCTCAAAGAAACAGTTATGCTAAACTTGAATATTGAAAAATATGCTTTTATCTCTGTGAAATTAAACAGGAACAACTGTAACTCTTTCAACTGCTGATTATGAAAGCATTAAGTGTTGTAAGCCGCCCCGAGGCTTCGGCGAATGGGGCGGCATAAAAATGTTTTAATAAATAAATAAATAAAATAAACTCTGCACGCATGCTCAGTACTGTTATGCTGTCAACATAATACACAGGATAAGTCAGTCCTGCACATGCAAATACCACATAAAGTACCCATGGGAGAGGTGCACTGATGTACCTTGCACACAGCCACTTGGACCCAAAGAACAGAAGACAGAAAGACAGCACTTTGATCCAGGAATCACTTGCACCCGGTGCACTGCACTGGCCTTCTTAATATGGTCCAGCCTGGGAACAGGCAGGCTCTGGGTCTGTTTGCTCTTCCACCAAGCTCTGCTGCAAATATCTCTGGCAGTTTCTCCTCTTGCTCATGCTGCCCCCACTTTCCAATGTACCAGACTTCCTGCCTGATTGTCTGTATCCTTGATCTAGTTCTTCTCCCCATCAGAGAGAGAGCTCATCCCAGAGGCTGGCTTGCAGTCAATGGTGTCTCTTGACTGACCTTCCGATGGTGCTCGCCCTTGTTCTCTACCTGATCTTGTTGGCACTTGAATGCCAGCCCCCAACATCTGCAGCTCACAGTCATGACCCCAACCCTGGGCAGCAGCCAGGCCTCTGGCATGGAGAAAGTGAAACCCAGCTGGATCAGGAAGACCAGCCTCATGAGCCTCAGAAGGGCTGAACAATGAGCCTGAGCAGACCTTGTCAGCCTCCAAACTGGGACTTCAGCCAAACTCTCCCCTTCCCACCTAAGAGAGATAAAAAGGCCTCAGTTAAACTCCAAATGCTGTTGGTGCAAGTGGTCGGCTTGAAGCTACCCACTGTCCTACCATTCTAGCTCATCCCTGCCTCCCTAAGCCACCCTCAGGCATTCATCCAACTGCTGTGGGATTCTGCCAGAGGCCAGCTGCCTCCAACTTCAGATGTTATCTTCACAGTTTCCTTTTGCCAGAGACCCAAAGAAGATGTTGGGTCTTCTGGACCCAATGGATGGACACTCTTGTTCTCCATATTCAAGCGGTGCTAGAACCTTTCATTTTCAAAACCTGAAATGCCACCTTGCATCTCTCTGCTCACATTTTAAGTGGTTTTAGAATATGCCTCCATGTAATTTTATTGTGGCCTACCAACCAGACTGATTACCCATTAGCCTAGTGTGGTTTTTCCAGGGATGTTGTGGTATCATGTTTGGTTTTATTTGAGTGTGAACTACTATTACCCCTTCACAGATGTCTTTATTTTTTAAAGTTATTGTTTTCAGTAGATTAACAGAACTACAGCTATCTTATGAGATATTTAGCCAAATTTTTAACTGCAACAATGCAACAAAAATTATAGTTGAAGAATAGAATCTGCCATAGGCTACTGACATACACACTGTGTATAATCTAGGAGAAAATTACCACTAAACCTATACCACTACTTTCACTGGAATCTATACTCCCAGATCTGCCCAATATATAAAAACCACATTAAATATAATTCATTCTTCTATTACATTTCTGTGCCCTAATAGCTGAAATTCCCTAGGAGATTTACAAAATTTTAAAAATACTTTATAAAACCCATTCACTGATGAAACACAGTTCTATATCCCTGTGACATCTGCATCAGGTGAGACTTGATCAGGTGATTCCTGGATCAGTGCCTAGGTCCAATGACAGACTAGATGAGGGCCAATAAACTAAAGCTGCATCCTAGCAAGATGGAAACCGTATGTTCGAGTAGTTCCCGCATGAGGAAAATGGGTTCACTGCTTGTTCTGGATGGAGATGCATTCATTTGAAAGATCAGGTATTTAGACTGTGAGGTACTCCAGTGTCCATCACTGTCATGGCAGCTCAGAGTGCCTTTTACATGCTTTGGCTGGTGTGCCAGCTGTGGCCTTTCCTGAAACTACAAAGTATAGATGCTTGTAACTTCAAGACATGATATTCAAATTTAGGCTGTCCATAAAGCTAGTGTGGAAGCTGGAGCTAATGCAGCTTGGAACAGCTTGGGTGTTTTCAAGAACCATGCCTTTTCAGCATGCAACTTCTTTGCTGAGGGTAGTGAACTGGCTATTAGTTACCAAGCCAGTTTTGTGATTTTGGTACTCATCCACAAAACCCTAAACAACTTGGGACAAGGATAGCTGTCTGGTCATTGAGGTCATCAGATGCTGCTTGCAGTTCCACATGGACCAGTGGCATGGTTGAAGGCCACCTGAAGAAAGGTGGCCCTTGTTCTATGGAGCTTCTTGAATTGGATATCAGGCAGGCACCAACACTGTATTGTTTTGGCAACTCCTGAAAACATCATTCAAGATACTTTCCTTGATTGACAAGCCCTGAATTTTATTGGTATTCTGTTTAAAACAATAACAGTGTGTTGTTCTTTTGATCTGGTATTGTTCACTCCTCTGGAATCTGTAGAGCAGTATATACATGTTGAAACAAATAAAGAGAACTTCCTGCGAAGAGAAGGAGGTCTTAACCTGACACTGAAAAGATAACAATCTGGGCACCAGATGGTCCTTGTTGGGTTGATCATTCCACAACTGGGCAGCCACCTGGAAGAGAGCTCTAGATAATGAATGCAGTGTGCAAAGTTGGTTCATTGAGGGAAGGCACTCTGTCAACTACCTTGGGCTGGTATTACCAACAAGGAGGGCCATAGTTCAGGGGCAGACTGCAAGCCTTTTGCATATTGAAGGGCTGAGGCCCAATTTGTGATGTTACCAGTTTTAAAAAGCTCAGTTAAAATGCACTGGGAAATATGTCTTCCTGGAAAGACTCTGTCCGAAAGAATACATAAGTTTGACTAGATGGACAAATAGTTTGACCTGGCATAAATCAGCTTCCTTTGTTCCTAATAATAGCACTGAACAACTGAAAACACTATGTTTCTGAGGCTCTTTGTGGATCAAGCAGCATTAAATCTATAAAAAACTAACTGTATCCTCATGTATACTTTTTGCTTTGTTTTAAAAGAACATATAACACTTAAATGGAAATTTTCAAAGGAGGAACTATCTTGGTAGGCCTTTATCATGTTGTAGTTTGGATATTAGTCTAGGACTTGGAAGATGCAGGTTCAACCTTTTACTCAGCCATGAAACTCAGAGGGTGACCTTGAACTTTGCCCAATGTAATCCAGCTCACAGGGCTGTTGTGAGTCTAAAATGGGACATAAAATGTTGCTGCAACTCTGTGATGCCCTAAATTCCGCAGAAGTGAAAGAGTAATAAATAAGTTACACACAAAGACATTTTTAAATATGGAGTTATGTTTGGATCAACAGCTTGTGCAGACATTAGTGAGCTCAATGAAGAAATGATCTAATTCGAAGAAGGTGCTTTTCTGTGTTCTGTGTCATAAACCTACATTCGCATCTCTCCCTCCCCCCTCCCTCCCTCCCCTGCTCCTGGCAAAAATTGGAATAAT